TGTTTTGACAACTGAGGCGGGTTTTGGACCATTTTCGAATGTCTGTTCGCATACCGGGCCCTTTGTAACGGTTGGTAATTAGTTTCATGATAAATCTGATACTGAGGTGCGATAATTTACAAGACGGTCAAAAACCACTTGCAAGTAGGACGGTGAAACAAACATTATGGGATTACCTGTGGAAATATCGCAGTCGATCCATGCATCAGAATTAAGCACGGGCAATGGCCAGCGTGTTAACGTGGTTTTTGAGGGGATTTGTATTAATTTTGGGTCACTGGCTTGGGCAACAGACGTAGATGGATGTGAGCGCGGGGTAGTTCGTCAGCAACCAGGTTGTTAAGACCAGCACTATGGCGAATATCCACACACACCTGGGGAACTTTATCATTGTGTCGAGTTCCTGCATGGGAGTCACGGTCAGGACTTGCATGAAAAGCATAAACGAGGGGCTTGTGCTTTGTTTAGACGATCAAGCGTCGACCTTCAAGGATAGGCCGAAAATGCTTTACAGCCAGCTACATGGCAATAAGCTCGCGACCGAACGTACCGTACCCGGGCTGGGCAGGTTGAAGTTTTCGTGAGAAAAAGGACAGTTTTAAGTTCTTTGCCCACTAACTGCTGCAATACGGCAACAACGGCAGCTTGTGAAGCCTCTGCTTTGTGAAGGAGAGGGACGTTATTGTCTGTTCTGAAGTAGGCAAGTGAAGAGGACTGGCTCAGCGTTTGCTTGACTGAGGTACACGCTACTTCGGTGTCTAGAGTGAACGGGAACATTTTGGGATTTCCTTTAGGCAATTAAGTTGACGGTTGAAGAATTGCTGCGCAAGCATTTATAAATTGTTCACAGTTTTCAGCATTGCCGAGAAAACGCCGTTTGATCGTATCTGATTGAGGTCTAGGATAACCCTCTCCGGCTTGCGTTGTGTCATTTAAGTGACTAATACCATTTGCGTCAACTCTGCGGCCTGGTAAATGGGTGGAAGGGTGGCCAACGACATAGTTGTCAAGGTCAATGGTGCTTGCTTGCTGTTCAAAACTTGCGAAAACCTTTTGCGTATGTGTTGAGTGTTCGTCAGCAAAAGCACTTACAATTAAAAGCTGAGCAAGGTAAACAAAACACAGTCGAGACCAAGCAGCACTTGGTCCATGAAGAGTTGGAAACTTTCGCGGCATTTCGGAAACAGAAGGGCACCTGGGAGAAAACGTATAAGCCAATGGGGTGGTCACTGTCGTTTTGGCCCTATCTTTCTGGGCCATTGGCAGTTGCCGATTTTCCAGCTAATCCTAACGAAACATGGTATATGTGTGGGGTCGGTTATCTGTCGGGAACTGTGACGTTATTTAGTGCTCGATAGTCGCCACGTGGGCGCCAATCACCCGGCATTTTAAGCAAAAATTGCACTGGAAATGACCACCACCTACTTGGAGTAGGAATGCTCCCGAGCTTGGGCATGTGCTCGAATTCTTGCTTAGCGGCTTGTAGTTTTTCAGATGTAAGCCGGTTTGGTTTCGTCGACGCGGGTGGACCAGTTGTGACGACGTGATGTTGCATATCTTGCTTGGGTTCCGTCGTGTCGTTAGTTACTTCGTCAAATGATGAATAACGCTGCAACCAAGCGGCATACTGCAAACGATAGGGCGTAAAGACTCGAAGTCCGACGGAATTGCTTGCAACAAGCTTGCAGTAAGCAGTCATCGAAGCAGCACCATTACCTAACTTTCCTCAAAGCAGATTTACTTGAGGTTAAATTTGCTAAGAAAATCTATGCTAATGATGGACTGTTGTATTTTGATGCGCGTTAAAATGAAAGAAAGCTACGAGGTAGTCTTGGACTGAACCTGCGAATTTACTGACCAAAGGCCGCGTTCTCCGTTTGGTTAGCAGGCTGCAGCTTCATTCCAGCCGACCGTAGTGAGCTTTTTCCAAGAGACATGGTATAACGCTTATCCCCGCGCCGATGTCAAGCAAGAAGTGGAGTTGGGTCGTGGAGTCAAATAAGCCAAGGAGGCGACTAATAATTGTGCCAGCGGCAGCCGTCGCCATTACCGGCTGGTTTCGACGTTTCCCTATTGGGTTAGTGAAAGCCTTTGCGTGAGTACATCCTGGGCGGCAGTTTCGTGCGGCATCATGAAAGTGGTAATAGAAGTAACAGTTTTAGAGTATCAAAGACACCGTTGCATGTCACCAGTCTTTCGATATTGCCTATTGATTCACTGCTGTCTGTCTGTATGGCTGCCTCTTCTCCATTGCTTGTTTTTACCCGAGGTTTCCTCAGTTACCTTGGTCAAAACAAGATGGACTGACTGACCCACTCTCAATATCCAGTTGGCTTAAACACTTGTTCCTTTCTCCGGGCTATGAAAGACCCACTTATGGTTCCAAATGAAGCTCTTTTCGCCATTCTGAAGCCGCAACTTTTACGGGGTCTAAACAACTGGGTTTAGCTTGCCTCGTACGCAGAGTATCACAATGTACTCACCTGGCACAATAGGTTTAGGTGGTTCCCCTGTATCACAACGGAAGACAAATAATCTCTAGCGCTTACCTTCACTGCCAGTGCTAGCTTTGCTTATTGTCACCTGCGTTCAAAAACTTGATTTCAGAGCCTTACTTCTCCGGAAGAACATGCGGCTTCCCCATTCATCTGGAGCTTGTCCGATGTCATTTCACGGCCAGCTTTGCTGTTCCTCAATGGGGCTCGAATAAATGGCTGTTCTGATGATCTTACCTGGAGTTTTCACTTGACCATGGAGGCACTTGCACCAAAATATTACTTACAATTGAAGGAAGTCAGACACTAGGTTACTGACTAAGAAATTCGTAACCATCGTGCATTAGACTAACGAATGGCACTTTCGCCTGTTATGGAAGTTTTCAGCCACAAGGATCAACTGCGCTCACCATCCCAGTGACACGTCCAGCGTGGGTAGCTGGACAAGCCTTGAGCAACCGGACCAGCTTATAACTGAAAAAGCCAGCCTCTATTCACAATAGTTTTACTCACCTGCACCACTCATCATTGGACTCTACGACTCTTTTGCATTTTTGCGCGGTTTCAACGGCTACTGCCGGAGCATTACCAAGTCAATCGGTAAACCAACGAAGAAATTAGTCGTCAACTGACTGCGAATAATAGAGTGCAAAATCGGTCTGTACGATGCATCGTCGGCTTCTACGACTTTCAAGGGAAACTTCGGCAGTGTTCCAAGATGTGGTGGCACTTTGCCGGGCAAGCTATCTCCCTATAAAAAGCCACAAATATCCGCTTAACAACCCCGCAAATTGGCGGAGGTAATGCGCCACTGAATAAAGGCACAGCTGAACAGTTCACACTGGCGCAGTCAGCAGGTTTTTACATACAACCTGTGCAACCACTTTACTATGGAAGACGCTTTGTTGGAGCACCGAACCTTCAGAGTTTTAATGCCTACCGATTACACCGAAATCTGGCTTTCGCTTCCGTGCTCGTGGATTACTACGTGGCGAAACCACGCCGAACTTGTATACTGAGATAACAGTTATGACTGATTGCTCCGCGCCCCAGCGCCATCCTGTTCCTCTTACCTGACAAAATACTCGCCCGTATGTACTGCAACACCTCGGTTATATCTTCCAATAAAACTAAATGTTTTGCTATTCCAAAGCGGCTATGCTAGGATGCATATTTGATCGCACCTTCATAAGTGTGCCTCGTTTTACCTAGAATATAAGAGTTATTTATTTACTAACGAGATGATGGTCTGCGGGAGTTGCTGCGAGGCGTGCTTCTGGAAGCTAACCATTTGTTTCGTGTCTGACCGCGGCTAAGATGAGAAATACTGAACTTCAAGCCTGAGAGCCCCTTACTTATGGAGTCGAGTGTGGCACTTACTGAAGTGCTTGTAATGGACGGCTCAGCACCTTGATTCCCAGCACTTTTAAAGAAGCTTTCGCGTAAGTTGTCGGCCGCTTCTGACAAGATATTTTGTGGAGGGTCTTCAGCCAACACAGCCAGTATCGCGGTCATATTTTCTAAAAGACGCTTAACCCTGAGTCAGGAGAGAATGGAATACTAGAAGGTTAATGCAAAGAAAATAAGCGCATGTATTGCAGGCGCTGTGAAGGTGTACAATTACAAAGCTCGGCGCCAGTGTGGCAGTTACAGCCGTGCCATGTAAGATAAAGTAGTTGATTTTGAGATAGCAGCTTTAAGCTTGGAAGAAGGTACGTCAGTTGACATAGGGCCAAGGATATCGATGAGTTCTGCAGCCACCTGTGCAGCTTAATGGACAGTAACAGGTGAAAACCTCCTAGACTGCTGGGTGATCTTAGGAAAACGAAGCATGAGTGCCACTTGAAGCAACCAAACAGTTGGGTTGTACACGTAGCAGGATGACAGAGGAAAAGCAACGGAATTTTCAGCTGATCAAACACGATGAAGCAAAACGTAACACGTTCCGAAAAGAAATATGCGGGGTCGACAATT